GCAAAACTTGCTTCAGTGGGGTTTTGGTGCTTACTGAGTCTGCCCCCTGAGTGTGTCCTTTATGGATCTGAGGAGTTTTCATCTGGATGGTCCCACTTTGACCACTGGGTACACTGGCTCCTGGATCTCTAAGGAGGTGCTAATTTAGCCTCTGCCTGAGGCTACCCAGCAGGAGCTCAGCTGTGAAACAATGCAAGTTGCCTTGGGGCTTGGGAGCTCAGCTGTGAAGCAATGCAAGTTGCCTTGGGGCCTTGGGCCAAGTGCAAGTTTTTTAGGTAATTTTCAGATTGCAAAGGGCCAGGCCTTTCATATGCAAAAGCCAGTGCACAGCTTGGGCAGGGCGGGTTCCCAGAGGATCAACAGGGCAGAATAAGCAGCTATGGCTGCCCTCAGAGGCCCTGCTTCTCAGTGTCCCAGCAATCGCTGCAAGCACCTCCAAGAGAAAGCTGCCCTTGAGTTCTGTCCGATGCCAGACAGTCCAGTTTCTGTATGGGTCTGGGTCCCCAGAGATTCGCTGGGAACTGGAGCTCTGAAATTGAGACTCCCTACTGATTAAAAAAGACAACTGTGTCCTCAGCCGCCATCCCTCTCCCTGTGCGCCTCCGTATCTCTGTACTTTACTTCCGCACCGCAGCTCCTCTGAGTCTCGGTATGCTTTTCTCTTTCCTTCTAGTTGTAGAATTTCCACTCAGCCAGCCTTCCTGTGGTTCTGGATGATGTCTGTTCCGTCTTTTAGTTGTATTCTTGAAGCGGTTGTGCTAAGCAGCAATCTCTGGTGTTTACCTATGCCTCCGTCTTGTTTTTTTTCCCCAGACACACTTTTGATGCTTCAGACTCCTCTACAACACTCTTTAGTTTATTTTTGAATATGTACAGCATTTACATGGTTTAAAAGTCAAAACTTTATGGAAAGGTAAAGCCAGAGGAGTTTTAATCCCATCCTTAGCCCTTCCTTTCTCTTCTCATACACCCCAATATTAACCATTTTCATTAATTTCTGGGTTATTCTTTCTCTGTGGTCCCCTCCCCTCCTATTAAATAAAACTATACACATTAATAGGAATATATATATGTGCACACAAATGTACACTTAACCTTATTTTATTTATTACTCAAAGATAACATAATTACACATTGTTTCATAGAGATCTTATACTTTGGTTGCATAATACCCCACTGGGGAATATGCCATAGTATATTTATCCAGTCTCCAATTCATAGGCATTTAAGTTGTTTTCAATATTTTGCTGTTACAAATATGAAACAATATGTGGACAAAATTACTCATTATAGTTACACTAGAGGCCGGCTATACAAAAATTTGTGCACTCGGGGGAGTGGGGGATCCCTCAGCCTGGCCTGTGCCCAGTCACAGTCCAGTACCCCTTTGGGGATGTCCACCTGTTGACTTAGGCCCACTCCCTGGGGGATCAGGCCTAACCTTGCAGTCAGACATCCTTCTGGCAGCCAGGGAGCCCTCAGGGGATGTCCAACTAAAGACTTAGGCCCCCAATGGATCAGGTCTAAACCATTAGTTGGACATTCTTAGTGCTGCCACGGAGGTGGGAGAGGCTCCTGCCACCACCACTGCGCTGGCCAGCCACGAGCCAGCTTCTGGCTGAGTGGCACTCCCCATATGGGTCTTCTGGATTCTGCCCTGCCTTGCCTTTTTTTTCTAAGACATTTCACTTTATTTAAAAGAAGCCAATATACAGGATATAAAGGGTATGATATTTACAACAGTACAGTAAACAGGTTGGTTTCCCAGTAGGATCAGTAGTCTTTCAGTGAGTATAAACCCCCCTTCCCCTTGAAGCTCGACCCAGCTGGCAGACAAACAGCAACAGTGGGGTGGGATGGGACTGCAGGATAGAAAGTCTCCCTGAAGGGATTAAAAATCACGTAGATGCTAAAATGTCCATGAGGGGGTCTTAGGGGTGAGAGGTACCTCTGCCTCATTCCTCCTCAGACCTCATCTTTCCAGCAGAACTGAAGGGAAGACCGTGTGTACCCTTCTGTCCCTCACCCTTCACATGCCCAGAACCATCAGTGTCGCACTTCCTAATTCCTATCACTGTATTTCATTAGTGCCATACTGTTTTACTAATCATGAATCTAAACAGATTGGTTCAAAAAGAGATCATTCTATTTTTAAAGTAATTAGTGATGTACCTGTGAGCTTTGCATGGATGAACTAAGCACATGACCCTTTCTTGTACATCAGAACCTGCACACACATGTAAAAAGAGGACCCGTTTTTGACAGATGTGAAACGACTGTTTATTTGTAATAAATAATTACACAATCTAAAACAACAACAACAACAACAAAAAGACCTGGCTTCTGCGTGTTCTGGGTCCCTCCCTGCCTCATTGCCAGGGACATGATCGGTCCCCCATGGCCAGGCAGGACAGCTTCCACATGTTCTGGGTCTCTCTCTGCCTCGCTGCTGGGGATGCGATCAGGTCCCCCGCGGCCAGGCAGGATGCCTTTCACGTGTTCTGGGTCCCTCCCTGTCTTGTCGCCAGGCATGCGATCTGGTCACCCACAGCGAGGCAGGATGGCTTCCGTGTTCTGGGTCCCTCCCTGCCTCGAGGGGTCACCGATCACCACCGGGGTGGGGGGCAGGGAAGAGGCAGACACTGGCAGCCTCTTCTCTGCCCTGCCCAGCTTCTCTGATCACCAGCTGGGGGGCTGGCCTTTGCCTGGGTTCTTGGATCCAGGGCAGGGGGCAGGGAAAAGTGCCTTTACCCTGCCACCTGGCTCTTGCCTGCTGCCTGGGTTTCCAATCACCATTCTTCCATCCTTCCCCTTTCGCTTCCCATCATTGAGCCTATATATGCAAATTAGCCGCCATCTTTGTTGGACATTAACCGCCATCTTTGTTGGCAGTTAATTTGCATATCGCCCTGATTAGCCAAAGGGAAGGGTAGCAAAGTTAAGGTTAATTACCATGTTTGTCTATTATTAGATAGGATAATATAGTTTCATATTAATGGAGGGGGATTTTTCATGGTAAATTCTAGAAGTGAGAGTTTGCTGAGGGAAGAGTGAATAAAATGTGATGTTAGATGTTATGATACTTCACTCCAGGGGGTCGTGCTGGTGTGCGTTCTCACCAGTCCTGTGTGGCAGAGCTTGTTTCCCAAGCATTGCATGCTTTAAAAATGTTGTCAATCTGATATGAGAAGAAATGAAATTTTGGTGTGGTTTCAGTTGTTTCTTTTTTATAGAACTTGTAATGAATTATTTCCCCTGCCCCCATTGATTTTCAGAGAGAATGGAAGGGAGGGAGGATAGAGAGAGAAACATTGATTTGAGAGAGACACATAGATGATTGCCTCCTACACTTGCCCTGACCAGGACCAGGGAAGAACCTGCAACTGAGATATCTGGCCTTCACTGGAAATTGAAGCTGAGATACTTCGGTCTGAGGGCCAATGCTCAAATTGGCTAGGGTGATTATAATTCTTTAAATAGATTTTTATTGATCTGCAGGCCAATGCTCTTTCTATTGAGCCAAACCAGCCAGGTGTGGCTCAACTGTTGAGTGTTGACCCAGGAACCAAGAGGTCATTGGTTCAATTCCCAGTCAGGGGTATGCTTGGGTTTTGTGCTCAATTTCAAGAAGGAGGTGTGCAGGAGGCAGCTTGTGAATGATTCTCTCTCTCTTTTTTAAAACATATATTTTATTGATTTTTTTATAGAGAGGAGGGGAGAGGGATAGAGAGTGAGAAACATCGACGAGAGAAAAACATCGATCATTTCCCTCCTGCACGTCCTTACTGGGTATGTGCTCGCAACCAAGGTACATGCCCTTGACCAGAATCGAACCTGGGACCTTTGAGTCTGCAGGCCGACACTCTATCCACTGAGCCAAACCACTTAGGGCTGAATGATTCTCTCTTTTCATTGATGTTTCTAGCTCTCTCTCCCTCTCCCTTCTTCTCTGAACTCAATAAAATATATATTTAAATTTTAAAAAAGTTGTGATCCAAAGGGAAGGCTGAGATCCTAGAAGTTGATACCTAATAATACATATCCAATCTCTTAGGATTCTCATATTGATTTTTATTATACTAAGTTTTCATATGAAGAATAGAGTCTCCAGGATTTAATGAATTGCCAAAGGATATATTGCTAGTGAAGGGCAAAGTCATAATCAGCAACCAAACTGGTCTCTTCCGGTTTTTCATTATTTTTTGCATGATTTCATCATACTATGTTACCCACTTTTGAAGAAAAACATACGCAATTCTAGCCAGAGAGAAACAGTTCCCCTCTACTAACCCTCTTTATTCCTTACAGAGATATTTAGAGCTATGGCAGTTTCCTCAGAGAACTCGAAAGGGGAGTTGAGCCAGTATATCTCAAAAGAAGACATCGAGAAATTTCTGATGGCACTCAAAGTTGGAGGTCAGGTGAGGACATCTCAGTCATCTTCCTGGCACTGGCTCCAGGGTGGAACCACCTCCATAAAGGTAGCTGGTTGGATGCATACCCAATCTGTCAGGAGAGGGGCAAGTATTTCCAGTCAGCAGAGCACTACCCAGCTCAGTCCCTTCACATCTCCAGGTCAGGTTCCCATGTCCCTAGGTTAACCCATAAACTTCTCCACCTGCTTTCCCCCAAATCTGGGTCCAGCTTTAATCTCTCTAGAGTCAGTCCTCCTCTTCATTTCTCTACCATGGATCATTATTCTCTTTCTTTTTTTTTTTTAACCCTCCATCCTTCAACCTCCCTTTCTTCTTGAATCCCTTCTCTCCTCTAGATGTCAGAAGATGATATCATAAAAACCCTTAAATTACTGGAAGTCAAAATTCTAAATACTAAGATGCCTACTACATTCTGCCGGAAAATTACAGGTGTCCTTATCAACTACCTGAGGAGAATGGTGAGGAGGTCATGCCTTTGTGTGGGGGGCGGTGGGGAAAGAAAGGATTCCAGATCTAAAGTCAGGAGTTCCTTTCTGGTGGGTGATGACATTTTGAAATAAGTAGTATTTGGGAGATGACTACCTCAACTTTCTAAACAGTTTCCTAGAGCCTATGTCTTATACCCTGAACATGTCTCAAGAACTGTGACCTAAAAGTTAAAGTAATGAAGTAAGGAGGTAGGGTGAAAGAAGTGAGATGGAAAGGGGGAAACGGATTTAGGCTTTGGGCCTCATAATGTAAGCTGTCCTAATCCTCCTCCTGGGATATCTTAGGCAGTCACACCTTTGCTGTTGCAACTCAGCTAATCACCTCAATTTATTTACTAATCTATTTAAATCCACCCACTTGCCTGCTAGCACAACTTTGGAAAACATGACCACTACCTATTTATCTATCCAGATACTTTTATACTTAATTTTCCTGGTACTGGGTAAATCTGGTTTCTGATTTTCTTGATTAACTGTCTATATACAAGGTGTCTTCCAGTTTACCTGCCTTCTTTGGCACACCTGTTTACTGATCAAGACCTGACCCTTCAAGAAATTTTCAAAGTTACCTCCATAATGTACCCACCTCTGTGATGACGGTTCATCTGTGATGACGGTTCACTTTGTGCCTCAGGGAAAACTCTGTTCTCTGTAAATGCCAACCCCCATTCCCACCCCAACACAAGCCTGGAGACTCTGCAGTTTTTCATTGCCTGCCCTCTTGCACACTCTAGGAAGCTCTTGCCCTCTATCATGGGAAAGGTGTATGTTGAATGGGGTCGTAGGATGAGATAGGATAGTTACTGCCCTCTAGATAGAGGAGAACCACTTACTGAGCAAAGCCAATTCTCAGAAGCTGAGCGACTCATCTTGGAGAGTAACCTTGGAACAGTGAGTCTTTCTTTTTCCAGGAGACAAAGGGAGAACTGGAAAAGGCATTCACTGCGGTCCTAATGGCTCTGGGGTCACATTTTCCAGAAGTGATCATTGTCAAGCTATGGGAAAGACCAAATACACGCTGTCTGCCCCCAAGGAGCCTCATGGTTGCAGTGGGGAAGATCATCCTTTCCCAAGGTATTGCTCCCCGTGGTGGAAGAGTTTGTCTGAGAAAGGAGCAGGGGCAAAAGTCTTTGGGGTGCTGTATGGAATTTAGAATATAGCTTTATTCTCCTGACTCCTTTCACTGTACTAGTATATCTCCACTTAGTTTAGTCAAAGGTGTGTGTGTAGGGGCGAGGGGGGAAAACTAGCATCCCTGTGGGACCAATGGGAACTCAGGAGGGCTTCCTGGAGACTAGGAGTGGCACAGGAGAGCATATTAAACCACAGGAAACTGTGGGGCTGGAGGTAAGACTAGGAGAACTAGAGGGAAGGCTGAATAGAAAGCCCCCATTCAACAGAGGTGGGGAAGGGCAAAAGAGAAGTGAGGAGTGCTTTGCTTAGAGGAACCTGAAGTTTTGAATTTGGTTAGAGGTTTGGAAGGGAATAGTGTAGTAGGATGAGGCAGAGAATCACCATACAATCTCCATCCTGGTGGCTGTTGGTGACAGCATTAGTTCTCTTACCCATTGTATTACCCTCCCCCAGTCAAAAAGTGTGGGGAAAAAATCAAGTCATCAGGCAAATGCCAGACCCTTCCCTTTCTTTGCCACTTGGAGTTTGGGCGAGAGAGCTGTTGGGGAAAGTCAGCTGGCCTTCTGGGCATTAGGTTCAAAATGACAAGCCTTATGGGTTGGGCTGCATAGCAAACTCAGAGGACACAGCACAGAAGCTGGAAATGAGTCTCTTGATCTAATCATGGCAAATGTTCTCACTTTAGAAGAGTGAGAGAGCCTCAGGCAGCACAGCTCTTTGCTCCATAAGGATCCTTGGGAGGGAGTGTGCCTGTGTAGGGTGTGGTAATACCTTGCATCTGCATGCTGTGCTATGATCCAGTATGGAGCTTAATTTTCCCAACAGACCTATGAGGTGGGCACATTAGGAACTGTAGTCCTATTTAACAGCTGAGGACATGGAAACTAGCATAAATTAAGTATCTTACTCTGGGTTGCCCAGACTCTTTGGAGGCAGAGCTAGGATCAGAATCCAAACCTACTGGCCTCTAATCATAAGATTTTGTACACTAAGGCAGGAGGCTCCTTTCCTTTCCTTGGGATAGGGATGATTTTCTTTTACTCTCCCTCCCAGATACAGTTTCTTTCGTTGGTTCTATATGGAGATATATCCAGCCTCTTCTGAAGTTGGCCCAAGAGGAGAATGACATGTTGGCAATATGTCATGGTAAGGGTAAGGAGAGTCTGGGGAAGGGCTTAATTAGAATCAGGGAGGGAGAAAGAAGGCCAGGAAGAGACTGGGGCTCTCTGAAGTTGGACCCCAAAAGTCTATGGAAGGGGCAGATGATGGCTGAGAGCAGGCCAGGTATGAGTAGATGCTCTTCTCCATCTGACCTCTCTTGGCCTGGTTTGCGGCAAGGAGCAAACATGATAGGGAGGCTGTACGTGTTGACAGCCTTTCTCTTTCACTTTCCCTGCCTATCCTGGAACTAGGTGTGGTCAGAAAGGAACGATAGTTGGGGAGGTGGTGGGCAGGTGGGTATTTCCCAGAACAGGACCTCCAAAGCCCTTTTTGGGTTGAGGAGGAGAGGACTGTACTTATAGGTGTGTATGCTTTACTTTGTGGGATGGGAAAGGTGATGGGCAGCTCTAACTCCCTTCCCTCTGTACAGTATTCTATGGATTGGTCATCAGTGCCCAGAAACACCTGGATTCCTGGGATGATAAGGTGACCGGCTTTAGTCAAAGGGAAATGTCCATGAAGGCCTACATCACCTTCCGCATCTTCCTTAACCGTTGGCCTTTGAAGAGCAAGGACAAGGTGGGAGTGGGAGATAACAGGGATTGGGTGGATGGGCCAAAGGGGTAAGGCTTGAGCCAAAGGTTGGCTCAAGTTTGTCCACTTGCTGGTAGAAGCCTGACTCACGAGGGTCTTCTGGGAGAGCAGGTGTTCCTCCTCAGGCTCCTCATACCATGCTCCAGAAAAACATAGAGTAAAAAAACACCGCACTGTCCATTCACTTATGTGTTAAGTGTGCAATTTACATTTATTGGTTAGTCTTATTTGCCAGGCATGATGCTAGGCCCTAATCATACAAAGATGGATAAAGCACAACCCCTGAGGGCTTGTCTTCCTCATCCTATTACTGATGCAAGTTTGTGTATCTCCTTAGGCACAGGTGACAGAGCAGGTTCTGCAGATAATGGGCCACCTTTTCTTCCTTATGCCACCATCCAAACTCAAGAACCAAGTGAACCGGTTAACACGATGGTTAATGATTTTGATGTCCACGAAAGTGACACCTTTCTACATTTCCCAGGTGATTGGGTTGTGCGTGAGAGGGAAATTTGACTCGTTCATGTATTTCATATTTATTGAGTAGTTAATGCTGGAGTGGGCAAAGCTTGGCACATAGGTCAAATCCATTCTGAAGCTTATTTTTGTAAGGAATGTTTTACTGGAACTCAGCCATGTCCATTTGTTGAATTCACCTCAGGCTTTGAAACTCTCTGACTTCCCTGTCTCTGACCTTTAGATCCAGCTTTAAAGGGCCTATGAGATAGATAACGTCTACCTGGAATACCTCCCTATGTTAAAGTCAACTGGTGTGGGACCTTACTTATAAAGGGTGTCCCAAAATTCACGCAAGAAGTAGTTTTGATAGAAAACACAGTTTTATAATTAAAAATTTTTAATCTTTTTATTGATTCATAAAGTATACATTATAAGGTTATGTATGGAATAGCATATTGCGTAAATGGCCTCCACAGCTTCGCTGGCACATACGCACTCTATTTTTTATTTTTTTTAAATATCCTTTATT